CCCCCCGCCCCCCCACTTCCCGTCCATCTGTCCGTCCCCCACCGGCCGCCCAGCCCTCCGCAATCAGGCACCAGGGGGTTGCAGAGAGAGGAGCCCAAAAGGAAAAGAGGAAAAACAAAAAAAACCCCACAAGGCCACAAGGGGCCGTTCAGACCCCAGATCGGAGGCTAAGGGGAAGTTTAAGGGAATCCTGGGGTCAGGGGACTTTTGCACCGCACAGCCCCCCAGCCTTGACACGGCTGGAAAATGATAAATGACAGAGGTTTTGGGAGCTGGGACACGGGCAGGGGGCGGAGGAGGAGTTTTGTAGCCGGGCTGGCACCAGGCACTTCCTTCCCAACATCCAGCCTGAATCCCCTGAACCAGCCGTGGGAGTGACTGACGTTGGCCCGGGAAGGTTCCTTCTCCTCTTCCTCAGGGTCAGAAGCAGGGCCACCTTTTCATACCTGCGAGGCCTGTCCTTTCCTTCCGATCCGGCGGCCGTGGGCTGCTTGGCCGTCCCGGGAGGTCTCGCTGTTTGGCCTCTGGACCCCCATCAACCCGAGGCTGATTCCTATTTGCTCCCAGGTAGCGAGGAGAAAGGGGCCTCGTCGGGTGGAGGATCTTGTAAGAGATCATCCAGAGGCCTAGGAGGCTGGGGCGCTGGGTTCAAAGCACCCAGCCCACCCTCTGGGCTTCGGTTGGCCCGTCCGTCCATCCGCCCGTGTGCCCGTGCCACGGGGGAGGGGCCGGCGTTCTTGTCCCGCGAGCCTCTCTGCCCCGGCCTGGGGTCCCCTTGTTCCTGGGGTTATCGGCTATCCACCAGCAGGAAGGCGGCTGGATCTCTCCCGGGAAGATTTGGCCCAGAATGTAACACTCTAGCCCAGGACCGCCTTGTGTGTGTGTGTGTGTGTCCCGAGTCGCGCCTGCCCCCGGCGCCCGGGTGAGCAAGCCAATGGCCCTTTCCTCTTTTCCTTTTGGAAGTTGAGGAGGCCGTAGTGCCCTCCCTCTGCCCTCTGTCCCCTTTCGCTGCCCTTCCCTGTCCCCGTTACTCAGCCTGTCTGAAATGCCTTCCCTTTGCTCTATTAACGCCCAGCCCTGGGGCACTAACCCCTCTCCCCCTGTCGCTAACAAGATTCCCAAGTCCCCCCTCGCTCCCTGTTCCTCTTGAGAAGGAAGGGAGGTCCGTGACCTCCCTGCCTGAGCCCAGAAGGAAGGCAGCCAGTGGGCCCAGGCCGGGCCGTAGACCTCCCTGGGCCGTAGGGACTCCAGCCCTAATACCAGTCTAGAGGGGTTTCTAGACTCAGGAGATTTCCACCTCCTACAGGAAGTCTTCCTGACTGACAAGCCCTCAGATCCAGCTCTGCTCCCAGGAGCCTGGCCTCGACTTCTTGGCAAGGCCTGCAGGGTCCAGAGGCTCAGGGCTGGCTCAGTCCCCCACGCCCCTGGGGGCAGAGTGGACAGGCCTGGCTTGTGGCCCCGCCTGGCCTCCCTGGGGCCCCCCGGCCCCCGAGGACCACCTTCTGAAATTCACCTGACTCTCTCTGCTTCCCTTACAGAAAGCACTCCGATCCGAGGTAAGAGGCTCTTTCCTTACCCCCTCCACCCACTCACGCGCTCTCTCGCTGCCCACCCAGCCCCTCAGGCTCCGCGGGGGGCTGCACCCAGGCCCCTCCCACGTATCTACCCCTTGCCGCCCCGCCCAGTGTCTGTCCAGTCTCTGTGTCTGTGTCGCTGTGTGTGGCTGTGGGGCCGAGTGTGGCCAACGGAGGCCCCTCCAGGCCACCTGGCTGCAGGGAAGGGGCTGTCTCCTCAGGAAGGGGCCGTGCCTCCCGTGTCGGCCCCCAGAGCTCTGGGGGCCAGTTTCTTACCGCTGCTCTGTACACAGACCTCGTCTGTCTTCAGCCTCAGTCTTCCCTTCTCTAAAACGAGCACGCAGAGGGGGCCTTCTGGCTCCACAGCTCCTTCTGAGCGGAGGGTCCAGCCCGAGGGAGCAGAGAGACCGTCAGTCTCAAAGGCTAAGCCCCCCACCCCACCCCCAAGTGCTGACTAGAACGGACTAGAATGGGCCTGGGTCGGAGCCCTAGGGAAGCGTCAGTGTCTGGTCCTCGCTTTGCCACGAAATGCTGTGTGACCTAGAGTAGG